GCGCTGTGAGGAGCCGGGAGCGGGGGAAAGCCAGCCGGAGGCACGGAGGAGCGGCAGGCGGAAGCGTTTCGCACACAGCCGCAGTCTCGCGCGCCGCCCTCGCCTCGCCGGAGCACCTGGGATGGACCGAGTGCAACCCCAGCAAAAACAAGGCAAGCCGAGGCCAGGAAGGGGGGAAGAGAGGTGACGGGCTTAATCTGAGGGGGAGGAAAGGGGTTTCCCTATGTGTTTGTTTAATTGTTTATGTTTCCTTTTTTCTCAATACCCAAATTAATGATTAGAAGTTTGTGTTAATTGGCAATAAATTAAGTACAAGCTGTCCCAGTCGAGATTGCTTTGCCCATGGCGCTCCCCACGGTTAACTCTGAACACCAGGACCGAAGCAGCAGAGACCTTGCGGGAACCTGGTTGGCAGCAGCCGCCGTTTCCCTGCGCTTCGGGTGGAGAACAGACAAGTCTGAAGGGAAAGGTGTCTCTCTTTAACCTCTGCCAGGCTGCTGTCAGACTGTGAATCCACCTTGCAGCCAGACATAGCAGTTAGTTACTTTTAATGGCAGTGGTGGAAAAGATAAATCTGTGTCCATGGGATTTCAGTTATCCCATTGCAAATCGAGTTGGTCTAGACTGAGCTGCTGAGTGGCGCTGTGTATCGAAGCGGGTGGCTTTGCCTGCAGGCCTGGAAGGACTCTGGGAAACAAACCTCACCAGCATCTCAGTAACAGGTAGTGAGTGGCCGTAAGCAGGGAGGGAAGTGCCAGCTGCGGGCAGCAGCCGCGGTGGCCCGGGACCAGCAGTGGACCCCGGTTCAAGGATTTGGCCTGGACAATGGTTTGAGGTCCCCTTGGCCTTCAAGGTGCTGAGATTTTCAGATACATCTCCAGCCCTTTGGAGACTCCTGGCTCAGCAGGGCAGAGCATCCCCCTGCAGCAGAGCTGGCGCTGGGCACCGGCACCTCTGCCCCGGGGCACCGGCATCCTGAGTGGGACCTACTGCCGGCTGGGGGCTGGGCAGAGCAAGGGCCGTGCACGATGCATCTGCACCCAGATCCCCCCCAGCCCCACTCTTGCTCAGGCACGGAGGTGCCTCTCAGATGAAAGCCCTCTGCTCCTCCGTATGTCTCTGCGCATGTGAATAATTTATGCTTTGTCATAAACAATCCCTCTTTCCCCCTCCTCCCGTCCTCCTCCCCTCCCAGCAGCATGCACTTGTGTTTGCTTTTTCTTGCTGCTTTCTAACAATGTGCCCATGTCAGGCAGATGGGCTCATTAATAGCATCAGGTTGCCTTTACTTTCCTTTTTTTCCCCCAGTATGTAATAAAGAGCATTAAAAGCGCAGAGGCAATGAGATCAGATTTCATTTTCTGCAGCTAGGTGGCTCTTCCGGAGCTCAGCCGGCGAGGGCCTGCGGGTCGCAGCGGGAGAACCGGATCCGGCAGGGCCAGCTCGGCCCGGCGGGGCCTCCCTTCCTGCCCTCGGACCGTCCGGGGCCCCGGAGGGCTGCAGCGCAGAGTGGGAACCCCAAGGCGAAGCCGTGCGGCCCCAGCAGCGCGGGAGCGCGCTGCAGGCGTGCGGGGCTCAGGGGCTCTCCAGGAGCTGCTCTCTGCAGCTTCTTTCATTTTAAAATTCACACGATCACTCTGGCTGGTGTGGCCCCTCGCAGAGGCTGTGTTCTCCAGCGTTAAAATGCTGCAGGTGACCCCGGGAAGTGCGAAGCGGCTATAAATGCTCTCCCAGGCCCCAGTGTCAACTTCCCGAGCTGCTCCTCAGGCGCTGCTGCTCCAAATGACACTGTGTACAGGAAGGAGGAAATATCTCACATCAAAGTGGCTTTTAGTCACTTTTCTTTCCAACCCCCGTGGTTTGTGAGCGACGCTGTCACCCCGGGGTGTAACCTCAGGGGCGCTCATACAGGATTTGGACTGTGCAACAATCCTGCTCCCGAATTCCTCTTGTACTTACCTGGGAAAAATCGCTGCGAGGTGCTTGAGCGCTGAGATACTGGGCTTAGGATAAATACCGCAAATCAGCTGAACTAGGGTGTCAGACTAGCCCTGATCGAGTGAGAAGCAGAAACATGTTTTGAGGTGGATTTTGAAGCTGAAGGAAGGAAACAGTGAAATGAGATGTCAAAAAAAGCCTGGGGACAGCCAGAAATGATGGCAAAGACTCTCCTTCATGAGAAGCCGGCAGCAGGATCGGGGTCCTGGCAGCCCACCCTCGCCTGATGGTCAATGCAGGCTTTTACGTTCACGTGTGCTCCCTGCCTTGCTGCGGTCCCTGCCCCAAGGCAGAGTGCTCGCCCCTCTGAGAAACTACGCGTTTAGCGCATGAGTTACACAGCTGTGCCTCGCCCCCAGCCCAGGCGTTTTGTGAATGCTTGCACCGCTCCTGTAACTTATGGGTAACTGCGGAGCCGCACACTTACATGGTGTTTTGCACTTTCAGGTTGCCCACAAAACACTGATCAACCTTTAATTTGGTAATGACCAAGCTAGGACTTCTTCCTAGGCATATCCTCTTGGCCCCGCTCGCAGCCGCAGTGCTGCCAGGTCTGTCCCAGGCGCAGGGCTGGCAATGACATCTTTCTGCCCACGTCACGCCGTTATTGCACTGTCATTGAGAAGCGCTTTGCGTGGACCGGATCCCTCGCAGCCCGGAGATCTGGTGGAGGTCCTGCCCTGTCACCAGTCCCATGAGCACCCTTCTGGTTTTGGGTGCTGCTGCCTTCTGCATTGCTTATCAAATGCACTTTAAAATTCAAAAGCATCTCATGGGTTTCCAAATATAAAACTGTTCCTGAGTGGTCATTATTGCCTTCCTGGCAATTCCAGCTCCGTGCCGCATGATTGAAGTGACGCGGTTGCTTCCCCCATTGACGCTGGAGGGCTGGGGGGACAGGCAGGTGCGTTTCCAGAATTGCTCCCTCCCATCATCAAGCTGCTCAGCTCTGCGAACGCAGGAAATGGGCAGCAGAGGCAGGTGCTTCCCAGCTGCTGCTGCTCTGCGGTGGGCACCTGGCACCAGCCCTCCCCCTCCCAAATGCACCATAGTGGCCCCGGCCCGCGAGTGCCGGCATTGCCTGGCCCCTGCCTGTTCCGGTGGCCCCAGCCCACAAAAACAGAGTCCCCGACTCACAGGGTGGACAGCAGGGCTGCACGGAGGGGC